TGAAAATCCCAAGCCAACCTTCCTCTGGTATTCCCATCATCCACTTAAAAAGCCAAGGCTTTTACTTACAATTCCATCTATTTGTTGTTGTTTTTGTTGTGTGCCGTCGAGTTGGCCCCAACTCATAGCGACCCCTCCTTGGGTTTCCGAGGCAGTATCACTACGAAAGTAGGATTGCCCAACCTTCCTTCCGAGGAAGTGGCTGGTGGGTTTGAACCGCCAGCCGTCTGGTTAGCAGTCAAGTGCTTTAGCCACTATGCTACCAGAGCTCCTGTTCCATCTATAATGAATTCATATTCTAATATACATCAGACACTAAAATAAGCACTGTGGAGAATAAAGAGAGGGAGGGCTGACTATGAGTCTGACGTCTGTTTGTTTGGGGTTTTATGTGTGTTTGTTATTATATTCTAATTTGTGAAGCAGGGGTAGATCATTTAGTCCAGAGTTTGGTTTCACCACAATAAGTGTGAACATTAAAAATGTCCTGCTCTGCCTACTACCTTACACAAACACAAGAGATTTCTTGTAAGTAACTAACACTTCCACAGCCCAGGTACGCCACCTAGTGGTCTGAGTAAATCAGTAGCCGAATGTTAGGGAGCACTATCCGGACTTCCCTTAAATGATATTTACAATTGGGTTCCAACCATCACCCCTAACACGATGACTCCCTGGACTCAAGGAAGGCTTTGAACAACAGTGGAACCGTTCAAGCCCTCCATGAGGCAGCCTCCAGGTTGTCTGCCCAAGATGCTCCATATAGGGCTTGCTGCTGTTGTTATTAAGAGCCAGAGAATCCATTTCAACTCAGAGAAACCCCATGTGACAGAGTATAATTGCCCCACAGAGTTTTCTAGATTATAATCTTTGCAGGAGCACGTTGCCATGTCTTTTATCTCTGGGAGCAACTATTGGGTTCTATCCAACTAGCCTTTCAGTTAGCAATGGAGTGCTTAACCATTGCAGATCCAAGGCTTGAGGGATCCTATTTCATGCTGGTGAGGAGTCAACAATATAGTCCTAGTCATTGGCTAAGCTCCCTTGTCCATTCTGTCTCTCCACTGAGTAATTCAGGTTCCCAACTACTGACTTCTCAGTAGTGCAAAAGCTGCTGATTCCCATTGGGAAGGGAGGATTTTTAGATATGTTATGGATTAAATTGTGTTCCCAGAGAATTTGTGTCTGTTGGGCTACAATTTTTAGTATTATGTAATTACCTTCTTTTTTTGCCTCCTGTATGCTCTACTATATTCATGTCTATAAATGCAGCACATGTAAATACATATGTAGAAATATCCTTTATCAAGCCTATATATATTCATGGATGTAGTCCCATTTGCGTTCCCATTCCTGTTCAGCTTTTGGGTCTATCTATATATTCACTTGTAGATTATTGTTATTATTATTATTGAAGGATGTTGTTGTTGTTGTTAAGTGCCGTCGAGTCGTTTCCGACTCATAGCGACCCCATGCACAGCAGAACAAAACACTGCCTGATCCCGCGCCAGCCCCACAATCCCTGGTATACTTCAGCCCATCATCACAGCCACCATGTCAATCCATCTCGTTGAAGGCCTCCCCCTCTTTCGTTGACCCTCCACCCTACCAAGCATGACATCCTTCTCCAGGGAATGGTCCCCTCTGACAACATGACCAAAATAGGTGAGACGAAGTCTGGCCATTCTTGCTTCCAAGGAGCATTCTGGCTGCACTTCCTCCAGGACACATCTGTTAGTTCTTTTAGCAGTCCACGGTACTTTCAGCATTCTTCACCAGCACCACAACTCAAAAGCATCAACTCTTCTTCTGTCTTCCTTGTTCATTGTCCAGCTTTCACAGGCATATGAGACAATTGGAAATCTCATGGCTTGTGTCAGGCGC